CTTATCCTCATTCTGACCTCATTTTCCACCTAAAGTAATAGAATTACAGAGTGTGGAAGATGGAGCCACATGGTTACCCGTATCCCTTCATTTCCGTCCCGGACCAGGAAGCAGTCTGTCAAGGAAGGGCTGAGGAGATGGAGTGCGCTGACACTTCCTGAGAGCCTCCTCAGGGTGGCCTGCTAGGATTTAGATCCTGTCACCCTGGTCAGATTTCATATGAGAAAAGGAAGCCCAGCGCCTCCATGCCCTGTCCGTGACACACATGAGAGGATCAAGATTCAGGCATGCAGAAATCCAAAGAGAGCTCTGGACATCTGAGGTCGCTTCCAAAGGCTTATGGGAAAGTGGAATGAAAAGATGGGCTAATTTTGGTGCAATTTTGTTTCTTTTCTTTCTTTCTTTCTTTCTTTTAAAACAGAGAAAGAAAGCAGAAAGACATCTCCTGTCCCTTGGTTCACTCACCTGAATGTCCACAATACCAGGACCAAGCCAGGGTGAAGCTTGCACACAGAACGCAGCCGGGGTCTCCTGTGAAAGTGGCAGGGACCCATGTGCTAGACCCATCTCAGCGGGGCACTGAGCTCGGGAGCAGAACTGGGGCTGCACCAGGTGCTGCAGTGTTGGGGTGTGCATCCCGAGCAGCGTCTTACCTGCCTGTGGGTGTCGAAAACATGGCCTGGGGAGTTGGATTTTTTTCCCCCATAATATGCATTTTTCATGAACTTTTAGAAGACCTCTTCATGTACAAACCTTATTTTCTAATTCCATTTCCACAGTTTTTTGAAGTTCCCTTGAGATGCAAGCCTTGTTCAGATCCCCTCCTGGAAGGTCTGAGAAACATGGCAGGGGGGTCGTAGTGATCCGTGAGAAGGAGATACAGCACCTTGCAAGGAGTGTGGGTTTCATTCGGAGTGTCATGGGGACCACTCAGTTCGCAAGGAGTGTGGGTTTCATTCGGAGTGTCATGGGGACCACTCAGGGAAGGTGTTCCTGGAGCCCGCGGATGGGCAGATGCTGACGTTAGCTGTTACTGTGCGGGGAGTAAGTCGGAGTAGGCAGCAGTGCGGGCTGATTGTTACAGCAATCCCAGGGACAGACCTATCAGTGACAGTGGGAATGAACAAAAGTGAGATGGCTTTGAAATATGTAATTTTCAGAGCTAATATTTATGTTACCTAAATTTACCATCTTAAGGTGTATAATTCTGAATATTCACAATGTGATATGCCTGTTATCACTAACTAATTGCAAACCATTTCCACCCACCCTCTGCCAACAGAAGCCCTGTAGCTGCAGGTCCCCACCCTCCTACCTCGCCAGCCACTGCTCTGTTCTCCCTTCGGCCTGGCCTGTTTCGGATGTCTCACATTAGTGAGTTCCTCCTGGCGGCCAGCTTCTGTGTCTGACTTCTGACCCGAAGGTTTGGAAGTGCGTCCTGTGTGGGCACGGAAGGCCCCATTCCTGCCGTGGCTGAGCAGTACCTGTGCGCAATGGTTGCTTTTCACAGTGATTCTATCATTATATACTTACAGTGGCAAGGGGGAGGGTTCCAGTTTCTGCATTTTCTCAAACATTTTTTTTTTCTGGAGATTTTCTTGCTTTCTGGGGAGGGGACAGTGTGTATACTTTTAATTATAGTCATTTACTGGGTATGAAATTGTGTCATTACAATTCAATTTACGTTATGATGAATGATGTTGAACATTTTTATGTGTTTCTTGGCCGTTTGTGTAGCATTTTTGGATAAATATCTGCTTAAATCCTTTGCCTGGGCCCAGCACGATAGCATATTGATTAGGGTCCTTGCCTTACACATGCCCGGGATCCCATATGGGCACCGGTTCTAATCCCGGCAGCCCCACTTCCCATCCAGCTCCCTGCCTGTGGCCTGGGAAAGCAGTCTGGGACGGCCCAAAGCTTTGGGACCCTGCACCTGTGTGGGAGACCCAGAGAAGCTCCTGGCTCCTGGCTTAGGAATGGCTCAGCTCCGGCCGTTGTAGCCGCCTGGGGAGTGAACCATCGGACAGATCTTCCTCTCTGTCTCTTCTCCTCTCTGTACATCTGCCTTTCCAATAAAAATAAATAAATCTTTAATAAAAAAAAAATCCTTTGCCTAATTTTTAAATTCTATTGTTTGTCTTTTTATTGTTGTAAGAGTTTTTTATGTAGTCTGGCTGCTAGACCTTGTCACATACATGAGTTGTAAGTATTTTCTGTCATTCTGGGTGTTGGCTCCTTATTTGTAGTGAGTTTTGAGGAACCAAGGTTTTTAATTTTCTTAAAACTCAATTTTGTCTTTAGTTGTGCCGTTTGATGCCATGTTAAAGAAACCATTGCCTAATCCAGCGTCACGCTGCTGTGCGCTTTCTGCCGAGGACTGTTCTGGTTGCACATGTTGGCCTCTGATGCCTGTTGGAGCAATGCTTGTGTATGATGTGAGGTGGCGGTCCAGATTGATTGATTTGTTTGTTTGTTTGTTTTTATTTTTTTATTACAAAGTCAGATATACAGAGAAGAGGAGAGACAGAGGAAGATCTTCCGTCCGATGATTCACTCCCCAAGTGACCACAATGGCTGGTGCTGCGCCCATCCGAAGCCAGGAGCCAGGAGCATCCTCTGGGTCTCCCACATAGGTGCAGGGTCCCAAAGCTTTGGACCATCCTCTACTGCTTTCTCAGGCCACAAGCAGGGAGCTGGATGGGAAGTGGAACTGCCGGGATTAGACCGGCATCCATATGGGATCCTGGCACATTCAAGGCAAGGACTTTAGCTGCTAGGCCATGGCGCTGGGCCCTTTTTGTTTTTATTTTTATTGGGAAGTCAGATTTACAAAGAAAAGGAGAAGCAGAGAGAAATATCTTCCATCCGCTGGTTCACTCCCCAACTGGCTGCAACAACCAGAGCTGCGCCAATCTGAAGCCAGGCTCCAGGAGCTTCTTCCAGGTCTCCCATGCAGCTGCAGGGTCCCAAGGCTTTGTGCCATCCTTGACTGCTTTCCCAGGCCACAAGCAGGGAACTAGGTGGGAAATGGAGCAGCTGGAATTAAAACTGGTGCCCGTATAGGATCCTGGTGTGTGCAAGATGAGGACTTTAGCCACTAGGCTACCACACCAGGCCACACACACACCTGCCCTTTTCCTCTTTCGTGTGTGTGTGTGTGTGTGTGTGTGTGTGTGTGTGTGTGTGTGTGTGTGTGTTTATGTCTATTTGTCGTAGCATCATTGGTTCAATTTGTCCTCACTGCAGTGTTTTCAGTAGTGGTGTAGGTGGGCATCGGCAGGTGAAGGAGGCAGCAGAGAATTAAGATTATTGATTAAAGTAGCTGGTTTAATGCGGTGGCAATTATTGAGATGAGAGTGGCTGTCATTGTGACCAGGAGGAAATGGGTGATAAGTGTTGCAGTATGAACTTGATGTGAAATGTTTCTGCTGTATAGTGAATATGTTACGATGGGTGGAGGGAACAGAAAACCAATTGCTCAAGCCCTCAATGAGGAAGAGAATGCTTGAAAACAAAAGAAGAAGGGAGTTGGGGTCAGAGTGGTAGCTTGGTTGGTTAAGCCTCAGCGTGCGGTGCTGGCATCCCATATGCTGATGCATTCCTGATCCAACTCCCTGCTGATGTCCCTGGGGAAGCAATAAAAGATGGTCCACATCCTTGGACCCCTGCACCTACTTGGGAAACCTCAAAGAACCTGGCTCCTGGTGTCAGACCCACCCAGCTCCAGCCATTGCTGGTTATTTGGAGAGTGAACCAGTGGCTGAAACTTCTGTCTCTCCTTCTATATCTGAAGATCTTTCAAGTAAAAATAAATCCTTAAAAAGAAAAGCAGAAGAGGACAGTGTGCTGGGATGGTTTGGGCCTCTAAGGAGAAGAATTTCTGTAATGGTAGGGAAATAATCACTTAGAAATATTAGGACAAAAGTAGCATCTCCTGTCCTTGAGGGATTGCCAGTTAGGAAGATACAGAATGGTCCTCCTTTGAAAAGACAGCAGAGCCAGCAGTGTCCTCAAGCAACAGATCCCAGTTAAGGCAGAGAAGGAGAGAAGGTTTTGGTGAAGCAGCCCAGGATTATGGGTATTTGCTGCTTGATAGTGCAAGTTCGAGAGTGTAGCGAGGTGTGCGGAGAAGGAAGAGGGCAGTCTGTGAGAAGCCTGGGGATTGCTCGGCCACCAGAGCTCGGACAGGAATGGTAGACCAAGCAGCCGAGGTAAGCGGACTGCGTTGTGGAACCGGCCCATGCGGCCCTGGAGTGTGGTCGTTCCCCTGGCTTCTTATCTCAGGTCCCAAGGAGAGATAGGCAGTCTGTAAGGACAGTGAAGGGCAAGGTGGAATGATGACTTTTCTCTGTGTGTGTGTATTTTAAAGATTTATTTGTTTGTTTGTTTACTGAAACTCAGAGTTAAACAGCAGGGATTTGTGAGCGGAGTGAGTGGGGGCAGTGCACACAATGACATTGGATGGTCACAGTGGCCAGGGCTGCACGAGCCAAAGCAGGAGCTTCTTTCATGTCTTTCACATCGATGCAGGAACTCAGTCACTGTGCCATCTTTCATTGCTTTTTCCAGGCCACTAGCAGGGAGCTGGATTAGAATTGGAGCAGCTGGGATTCAAACTAGTGCCCATGTAGGATGCAGGCGGTGACTTAAATTGTTAGGCCATGACACTGGCCCCAGGCGAACACTCTTAGGGCTGCAGTCACTGAAGTAGCAAAGCAAGTCTCAGAACACTCGTTATGAACTCTGCTCATTTTCGCTTTATTTGTTCACCTGAATTGCAGAGCTTATTGACCTGTATCTGCTGGAAGAGCTGCATGTAATAGACCATTAAAGGAAAAACTTTGAAATTTGACCATCTTTGTCCTAGGTACCATTCCAGGCGCAGGTGCATGCTGAAAAGGATGAGAGAAGCCTGTACCACATGTCGGCTGGGGACCTAGGGTTGCGTCTGCGCGATGGTGGCTCTGTGCTTCACTCTCATTGTGCTCCGTCCACAGGGTCATGTCGGTACTACAGCCACCAAGAAGATCGACGTCTACCTCCCCCTGCACTCGAGCCAGGACAGACTGCTGCCAATGACTGTGGTGACCATGGCCAGCGCCAGAGTGCAGGACCTGATTGGGCTCATCTGCTGGCAGTACACAAGCGAAGGACGGGAGCCGAAGCTCAAGTAATCCTTTCTCCTTTGGCTGCTCTACTTTCTGGCTCTCTCCCAGCCACCTAAGCTTCATTCTAGCCTGGGTCAGTCTTTCTAGGCGCCAGCCTGGGAGCCAGGCTGCCACACTGACTCAGGTCAGGGTGCTCACCAGATCGTGGCCCTGCATAGCTCAGGCTTATCTCAGAGAATCTGCTAGCAAAGTGATTCCTGACTCTAGACATGAGAAAATGGGTCTTAGTGATTTCCAGATCCTTTGATGAAACCTGCTGGCAGAAGCATTCTGGCAGGTAACGCAGGGGAGCTGGTATCTGTTGAATATGTCCTGTGCATGGGGCTCTCTGTGCCTCTGCCCGCGCTCTGAGAGGCTCTGGCGCCTGCCCCATAGGGAGGAAGTCCAGGGCAGAGCAGGGGTCACTGCCTGCCAAAGGCGTCATCACTGGAAAATGGCCGAGCTGGGAGTCGAGTCCAGGTCTGGCTGATGCCAAGGCTTTTGTAATATTTCCTTTTGCTTCTATGGTCGTTTTGCTTTGAATTTTAGCTTGATTTGATATCAGTCAGTGGCTCAATTTTTCTTTCAACCACTAGGCTCTATCCATCATCAGACAGTTATTTTAAAAATGTGATCCTTGGGAACAGAATCTATACCTGTCCAAACTTAAGCTTTGTTTTGCTGCTTTAGCTCTTCTCTCTAGACTTTCTTATCCGACATTGTCTGCTAGTTTGATGTGCTCTTTCTGGCAGTAAGGTTTGAAATCAGCAAAATGTAATAGATGCTTTGGTTTTGGAAATGGATCCTCATGGAGACTTCCCCTTCCCTCTTGTGGGTTCAGCACTAGCATAGTCTAATGAGTTGTTGAAATATTTTTATGTACATTAAATTCACACATAAAATTATTCTTTCAAGCTGTTACTGATATTGCCTTCTACTTTGCCTAAGTAAGTTGTTGCAGTAGCAAGCCTTTCTAAAAATCATTTTTTTTAATTAGAGAAAAAAACAGTATAAACAAAGAGCGCCCTTGCCATGATTCACTCTGCAGCTGCCCACCGGTGTGGGGTTTCTGCTTCCCAGGTCTCCTTCATGGGTGGCAGGCTCCCAGGTGCTTCAGCTATCATCGCAGTCTGCAAGGTAGGCCCTGGCAGGAAGCTGGAGTCAGGAAGCAGAGGCACGCATCCTCTGCAGGTGCTCGGGCGTGGGATCCAGATGCCCTAATACAGGGCAAAACACTCGCTGCAGAAAGCCTCCCACCCTGGGGACCACCTAGGTTCAGGACAGTTGAGTTGGCAGTTCTCTCCAAGCACAGCATGAATTGGGAACAAGGAAACCACATGCAGTACTGCTGGTGACTATCTGTGTTGTCTGATACGACTCCTTTAAGAAGATTTGTCTTACTTATTTGAAAGGCAGAATAGCAGAGGGAAAGGAGGGTCACCTTCCATCCACTGGCTTACTCCTCAAGTGATGAGAACCGTTGTTGCTACTTGGCCAGCCTGAAGCCAGTAGCTTGGAACATGAGTGGCAGACCCAAGTATTTGCACCATTTTCTTCTTTCCCAAGTGTATTGGCAGGGAACTGGATTGGAAGTGAAGCAGCTTAGACTCAAACCAGTACCTCCATGGAATGCCAGCCTCACAAGCTATGGCTATATCTGCAGTGATTATTTGGGGGTGCTGTACCCCTCAGAGGATGCTGTAAATGAGTTGACTGGTGTGTGAGACACTCAATTTTCACCAGCTTCGGGTCAGCTCCTTAGGTCCAGGGCTCAGAACCCCGAGCCGTCTTCCCAGAGCGCGGAGAGCCTCATCCGTGTACCATATGCCATACAAGCACCATGCCTTTCCAAGTACATCATGGTGTCAAAACACATTAGGGAAGACTACTGAGGTATGGGGCCAGAATAACTCTCCAGTAGTGAGCTAGGAATGAGGGTAGAACTGCCCTACCCATTCAGGGGGCTGAACAAAGCTGCCTGCGTGTGGCTTATTGTAAGTTGGCATGGAAATTAGTACGAAGAACAGTGAGACAGGGACCTGTACTTTGCATGGGTTTCTCATGTTCTGGGATAGAACCCTTCAGCTGCCAGTACAGTCACGCTGCCTAGTCCACAGTGCTTGGTTCAGGATGCCCTGGGGAGACTGAAGTCCTTCAAATAAAGAGATGTAGTATTTGCATATAACTTAAGTACTTTAAATCACCTCTAGAATGCTAGGCAAATGGTTGTTATACTGTACTGTTTAGGAGATAATGGCAAGAAGAGAGAGCCTGTAGGGATGCAGTTTTTAAAAGCAGTTTCTCTCTGCAGTAAGTTTTCTTTCCAAATGAGGAACCTGAGGACCAGAAGCAGGTCTTGTAGAGTTGGGGTTAAAGACAATGAGCAAGTGGAGAGTGGGTGCAAACAAGTGTTCCCATTCAGGAAGAGCTAACAAATTAAGATGCAAAAGTACACAAGGGTAACAAGTAATCAAATGAGTTCACTCCCAGCAGAATGAAGCAATCTGAATATTAACTTCAAATAAATATCTTAAGAATGTCAAAAAGATGAAGGAAGGAATAATAACTATGGTAAACTTCTAGAAAATTATGAAATAAAACCAGGCAGTTCTGACTTTAGAGAAGAACCAATTAAAAGTACTAGTAATGGGTCCTTGCCTTACACACACCAGGATCCAATCATAAGGGAGCTGGTTCTAATTCTGGCAGCCCTGCTTCCCATCCAGCTTCCTGCTTGTGGCCTGGGAAAGCAGTCGAGGACAGCCCAAAGCCTTGGGACTCTGCAGCTGCATGGGAGACCTGGAAGGGGCTCTGGCTCCTGGAAGAAGTTCCTGGATCCTGGCTTTGGATTGGGACAGCTCCAGCCATTGTGGTCACTTGGGGAGTGAATCTTCAGACGGAAGAACTTCCTTTCTGTCTCTCTTCCTCTCTGTATATCTGACTCGCCAATAAAAATTAAAAGTAAATCTTTATAAAAAAAAAAACATGAATGACAAAGATAGGACCCTGCACCTGAGTGGGAGACCCAAAAGAGGCTCCAGGCTTCAGATCAGCTCAGCTCCAGCCATTGTGGTCACTTAGGGAGTGAATCAGTGGAGGGAAGATCTTCCTCTCTGTCTCTCCTCTTCTCTGTATATCTGGCTTTCAAAATAATAATAATAATAATAATAATAATAATAATAATCTTTTTTAAGTACTAGCAATGTAAATTGCAGTTTTTAAAGTTAAGAAAAGAGATATTGGGGGCTAGCACCATGACATAACAGGTTAAACCTCTGTGTGCAGTACGAACATTACAAATGGCAACGGTTTGCATCCTGGCTGCTCCAGTAGCTATCAGTTTTCCTAGTAATGTATCTAGGAAAGCCACAGAGGAAAGCACCAAGTCCCTGGGCCACTGCACCCATGTGAGAGACCAGAAAGAGCTCCAGGCTCCCAGATTCAGACTTGCTAGTTCTTAGCCATTGCAGCCATTTGTTGGGAGATTTCTCTCTCTTCCTCTTTCTTCTTTTTCTGTAAAAATGCCTTTTCAATAAAAATATATCTTTGCAAAAACAGAACAGATGTTGAATAAACTAGAGTGTTCACAATTTGAGGGAGGTTTCTGGGCCAGCATGATGTCATAGCAGGCTAATTCTCTGAGGTGCCAGCATCACATGTGGGTGCTAATTCCTGTCCCAGCTGCTTCACTTTTGATTGAGCTCCCTGTTAACGGCCTGGGAAATCAGTGGAGCATGGCTCACCTTTGTGGGCCCTTGCACACATGTGGGAGACCTGGAAGAAGCTCCTGACTCCAAGTTTTCAGATCAGCCCAGCTTTGTCCATTGGGACCATTTGGGGAGTGAACCAACACATGAAGATCTCTTTCTCTCTCTCTATGTTTATGTGTGTGTGTGTGTGTGTGTGTGTGTGTATACACACTCTATATACACACATATATACACATATATATATATCTTTGCACCCCTTCTATAACTCTTAAAATAAAATACATTTTTTAAAAAGAGAGAATGCGTTTCAAAGACATCAGTCTGAATGTAGCCCAAGGGAATCAACAGATATAGAAATAAAATATAAATCAGTTGAGACATGGCGGCAAGGTTGAAAGGCTGCCATATAGAATTACAGTATGACAGGGGAGTCAGTTCCTGCAACTGAAGGCAGATGTAATGAAGCTTTGTGTTATTGCACACAGTCGATGGAGGAAGGACAGACTTCTCAGAATACCAGTGTTTCCAGGAATAGCAGTGTTTCTCGAGAAAGTGGCAGGTCAAGCTTGCACATGTGCTTTCTCAAGGCAATAGGCAGCCACATTTGAAAAACGCCCCATTTCTCACACAGAATATTAAAAATAACTGTTGAATACTGCTTTTTGAAAAACACTAGGTGAAATTGACATTTTTGTTGTATTTTTCTTAAAGGCTTGTTTACACAGAGTTTCAGAGAGAAGGAGACAGAGGTTGAGCTCTTACCTACTGGTCACTTTCCAACTGACCACATGCCTGGGGCTGGGCCAGGTCGACGCCAGGAGCCTGGATCTCCTCGTGGTGGCAGCTGCTCTAGCACTTGAACCATCCTCTGCTGCTCTGCCAGGCATATTAGCAGAGAGCTGGATCAGAAACAGCAAACCACTACTCCAGTGTGGGGTCTGGCCTTGCAGACAGCAGCTCACTTACTATGCCACAGCACTGACAATGTTTTGGTTCTTTGCTGTTAAGTATGTGACAATGAAGAATTTGATGACTACTAAAATGGTTTGGTGCCTTTGCCTTAATTCATGGTATGATGCCAGTATTCTGCTCACAAATGTAGTGTGAATGCCAGCACAGTGAAAAAGGCCAGTAATATTCTGGCAGTGTTATGCAAATATCCTTTGCCTTGGCTCCCTTAGAGATCTACAGACCATGCTTTGGCAGCCACTGGTTTAAAGAAGCGCTTTGGGAGTAGTTCGGAAAGAAGAAAGCTGGGCACTGAGGAAAGGAATTAGTTGCAAGAGTTGGAAGTGAACAAAGATACATTGCTA